AGCCACCGATGTGTATGAAGTGATGAACCTATGTGTGTGATGTGATCCATGTGTGTGTGTGACGCGATCCATGCGTGTGTGACGTGCTTCATATGTGTGTGACATGAACCACCGTTGTGTGTTGCGTTATCCACCGATGTGTGTGACGTGATCCATGCGTGTGTGACGTGCTTCATATGTGTGTGACATGAACCACCGATGTGTGTGGCGTTAACCACCGATGTGTGTTCCGTGATCGAGGCGTGTGTGTGCCGTGATCCTTGCGTGTGTGACGTGCTTCATATGTGTGTGACATGAGCCACCGATGTGTATGACGTGATGAACCTATGTGTGTGATGTGATCCATGTGTGTGTGTGACGTGATCCATGCGTGTGTGTGACGTGATTCATGCATGTGTGAATTGATCCATGCGTATGTGACGTGATCCATGCGTTTCTGACATGATCCAACAATGTGTGCAACGTGTTTCATGTATGTTAGGTGATCCACTCAAGTGTGTGGCGTTATCCACCGATGTGTGTGACGTGATCCATGCGTGTATGACATGATCCACCCATGTGTGTGACGTGATCCATTCGTGTGTGAATTGATCCAAGCGTGTGTGACGTGATCCATGCGAGTGAGACGTGATCCATGCGTGTCACGTGACCCATACGTGTGTGACGTGATCCATGCATGCGTGACGTGATCCATTCGTGTGTGACGTGACCCATGCGTGTGTGACTTGATCCAGGAATGTGTGTGCCGTGATTCATGCATGTTTGACGTGATCCATGCGTATGTGTGACGTGATCCATGCGTGTGGGACGTGATACAGGAATGTGTGTGCCGTGATTCATGCATGTGTGACCTGATCCATGCGTTTGTGTGACGTGAGCCATGCGTTTGTGACGTGATTCATATGTGTGTGACATGTGCCACCAATGTGTGTGACGTGATAATTGTATGTGTGTTACGTGATCCATGCATGTTTCTGACTTGATCCACCTATGTATGTGATACAGCAATGTGTGTCACGTCAATCATGCTTGTGTGACGTGATCCATTCTTATGTGTGACGTGATCCATGCGTATGTGTGACGTGATCCATGCGTGAGACGTGATCCATGCGTATGTGTGACGTGATTCATATGTGTGTAACATGATCCACCAATGTCTGTGACGTGATAATTCTATGTGTGTGACGTGATCTGTGTGTGACGTGATCCATGCGTATGTGTGAATTGATCCATGCGTGTGTTGCATGATTGATCGATGTGTGAGACGTGATTCATTTACGAATTGACCTTCACTTTGTGTGAGTTCATTGGAGTATGAACCTTCATAGAGTGAGGGCCAAACTGTATGAACGTCGGAGCTTGTTATAATTTTTTAACACAATTTCTTACCTCAAAGGATAAACACAATTTTATTTAGTTAGTGTGACTTCATGTTTACACCGACAGCCATACAACAACCAGCTATATCGCGGAGTAAAAAAGTTCGTCAAAAGGAGAGGTGACATGGGCTTGCTCTTCAGAAACATCTTACGCAGCACATGTGTTCAAATCATATCCTCCTTAGATGAAAAAGGTCTGTAAAGAACTACCTCAGTAAGTCAGTCACAATGACAGCGCGTCGTACGTAATACATTTACATCAAGTACAAGACGTCAAAATGGCCGACTTGATAAACGTGACGGGAGAGATTTCCGAAGTTGTTAATGAATCTGTGGCGGTTACATGTGTTAATCATCATTGATCAACTGGCCGATCATTGAAAGGTGAATAAAGATACTAAGGTAAATTCATAGATTGCTGGAGACGGTCAATGTCAGCCTAGGTACGAACAAACAATATAGGTTCTTAATGACCAGAAAGAAAGCTTATGTATGTTTTCGTGCTAGGGAATTCCCAGGGGTTTCTCCAGGAATGTGGAAGTAGTTCGTCAGTGTTTACGTCATTTCAAGAACACGATCTCGTGAAAAACGTATGAACGTCAAATTGTGTCGTTCATACACTTATGAACGTCAATTCCGCGGTCATGTGAACGACCTCTCGTCCAATGGAAAAGCCGTATATCGTGTAAACTTCAAATTGAAAAAATTATGTGTGTATGTGTGTGACGTGATCCATGCGTGTGACACGATTCATGTATATGACGTGATGCATGCGAGTCTTACGAGATCCATGCATGTGTGTTACGTGATCAAAGCTTACATGTGACGTGATCAATGCGTATGTGTGACGGTATCCATGCGTGTGTTACATGCTTCATCGATGTGTGAGACGTGATTCATGTGTGTGTGTGACGTTATTCATGCGTGTGACGCGATTAATGCGTTTGACGTGATTCATGCGAGTCTTACGCGATCCATGCGTATGTGTGACGTGATCCATGCGTGTGTTACATGATTGATCGATGTGTGAGACGTGATTCATGTGTGTGTGTGTGTGTGTGACGTGATTCACCCATGTGTTTTACGTGATTCATGCGTGTGACGCGATTCATGCGTGAGACTTGATTCATGCGAGTCTTATGCGATCCATGCATGTGTGTTAGGTGATCCATGCGTGCCTGGGACGTGATCCATGCGTGTATGGGACGTGATCCATGCGCGTGTGACGTGATCCAGGAATGTGTGTGCCGTGATTCATGCATGAGTGACGTGATCCATGCGTATGTGTGACGTGAGCCATGCGTGTGTCACGTGATTCATGCTTATGTGACGTGATCCATGCTTGTGTGTCACGTGATCCATGCGTATGTGGGACGTGACCCATTCGTGTGACGTGATTCATGCGTGTGTGATGTTATCCATCAAAGTGTGTGACGTGATCCATGCGTGTGGGACGTGATTCATATGTGTGTGTCATGAGTGTGTAACGTGATGAACCTATGTATGTGACGTGATCCATGCGTGTGTGTGACGTGATCTATGCGTGTGAGACTTGATCCGTGCGTGTGTGTGACGTGATCCATGCTTGTGTGTGACGTGATCCATGCGTGTGAGACATGATTCATATTTGTGTGACGTGAGCCACCAATGTGTGACGTGATATATCTATGTGTGTGACGTGATCTATTCATGTGTGTGACGTGATGCATGCGTATGTGTGACGTGATCCATGCGTGTGTTACATGATCGATCGATGTGTGAGACGTAATTTATGTGTGTGTGTGACGTGATTCACCCATGTGTGTGACGTGACCAGTGTGTGTATGGCGTGATTCATGCGAGTGTGGCGTGATTCACCTGTGTGTGACGTGATTCATGCGTGCGTGTGACGTGATTCATGCGAGTCTTACGCAATCCATCAATGTGTGTTACGTGATCAATGCGTGTGTGTGACGTGATCCATGCGTGTGTTACATCATCGATCGATGTGTGTGACGTGATTCATGTGTGTGACGTGATTCATGTGTGCGACGTGATCCACCCATGTGTGTGATGTGTTTCATGCGTTTGACGTTTTCCATGCATGTGTGTGACGTGACCATTGTGTGTGTGTGACGTGATTCATGCGATTGTGACGTGGTTCACATATGTGTGTGTGTGTTCATACGAGTCTTACGCGATCCATCAATGTGTGTTACGTGATCCATGCGTGTGTGTGACGTGATCCATGCGTGTGTTACATCATCGATCGATGTGTGTGACGTGATTCAATTACGTATGTGACGTGATCACCGTGATCCACAAGCGATATATACAAAGAATGATAATGACGTATGTAACTTACGAGCGATATTAACCCTCAACCCTGTGTTGTGATGATGACTTAATAATCAATCATTCAGTGTGTTGTTCTTTTTTATGGTGACAGCCTTTCATACGCAATGCACTTTTCACACTTTAAGGAAATATTTAGTTTCTGTTTGAATTTTCGCTGCAGGGAGTTCTGATGGGATCGCTTTGAAACATTGTAAGACAGTTCTGCAACAGTAATTACAAAAGGAAATCAACTCTGAACCTCCAGTCTAATTGACAGACGACCGACAGCGTTTCTGCACACGAAATCAACCAAGCCAACATAAACACAACAGCTCAGTGTTGTGTACGACACACTCTCTAGCTAGCACACCCATTACACAACCAGAACAAACCGATCTTTGTTTAGGCATCAAAGACACGCTGCCTTTCTGCATTTCATATTCGAGTATTTGTGACTTGAATATCTCTTTCATGGATGAAGGGTATAATGGTTCCCTGTAAAGAAGATTATTTCTATCTTAACAACAGCACGCATTACAACCAAACACAATATATAAAGGCTGAGGTGACAATTCTATTGTACTGTTTTGTAGCCTGATCACATTACAAAATGCAAGTCCCAATTCGTTATCCTGAGAAATAGAAATCATATTTGTAGAATCACTAACGCACGAGTGATATTTGAAGAGAAGGCAAATGGTCAATGTTTGTCAAATCCTACCATACAGACAACTGTCACAACAGCTCAACTGTTATTAACAAATCTCCTTTGTGTTTCAAAGCTATGGATGCAGGATTCAACATTGAAGGACACTTTAGTATTCAATGTGTAGCGGTCGAGCCACATTCAGGTGTTTATCAGCTTCAGCTGAATACCCATCACCTGCTATTACATGTAGGACAAGGGACACAAGCTTTCAGATTTCTGCATGTTTCTGTATGGTTCAGTTTGTACTACCACCTTAGTTGACAGATCAATGTTAAGCATTTCTCCCGAGCTCTATGTGGAAACAGTTTCATTAGAGAAGACAAGATAAGAGTATATCTGTTGCATAACATGCTGTTTGTTTTACGCCGCACTCAGCAATATTCCAGATATATGACGGCGGTCTGTAAATATTCGAGTCTTAACCAGACAATCCAGTGATTGATATCATGAGCATCGATTCACGCAATTAGGACAAGATGAGATTCATCAACTAAGTCAGCGACTCTGACCACCCGATCTCGATAGTCGCCTCTTACGACAAGCATTGGCATCTCTTCCGACAAGCATGGGTTGCTGAAGACCTATTCTTGAGATCGTTAGTGTTTGTAAGACTTGCTGACAACATGACCTCCTTGTGACACCAACCATTCATACAAATCCATGTGATGTTTACGCTTTGCAACCCTAGTGGCTGTTTCGCCTTTACTGTTTTTGGCGTTAATGTCAAGACTGTTCTGTGACACAACATGTTGCACGATCTCCATACTTCCTATTTCACAGGCCAGATGAAGGACGTTGTTTCCTTTATCATTCATTTGTGATAGATCAACACCTGGACTCAGAAGGGTTTCACCACATCCCTGCAGCTCTGCCGACATCAGTGGCGTCCTCCCATCTTGATTTTGACTGTTGACGTCCCCAATGCCTTGTGACATGATGTGCTCCACCATCTCCACATGTCCTCCAATGCACGCCACGTGTAGGATGGTGTTCCCCTTGTTACAAACTACTGATGCATTAGCTCCATTTCTCACGAGTAGGTCAAATACCTCTCTGTGTCCACCAAATGCTGCCAACAATAGTGGCGTCCTCCCATCTTGATTTTGACTGTTGACGTCCCCAATGCCTTGTGACATGATGTGCTCCACCATCTCCACATGTCCTCCAATGCAAGCCACGTGTAGGATGGTGTTCCCCTTGTTACAAACTACTGATGCATTAGCTCCATTTCTCACGAGTAGGTCAAATACCTCTCTGTGTCCACCAAATGCTGCCAACAATAGTGGCGTCCTCCCATCTTGATTTTGACTGTTGACGTCCCCAATGCCTTGTGACATGATGTGCTCCACCATCTCCACATGTCCTCCAATGCAAGCCACGTGTAGGATGGTGTTCCCCATGTTACAAACTACTGATGCATTAGCTCCATTTCTCACGAGTAGGTCAAATACCTCTCTGTGTCCACCAAATGCTGCCAACAATAGTGGCGTCCTCCCATCTTGATTTTGACTGTTGACGTCCCCAATGCCTTGTGACATGATGTGCTCCACCATCTCCACATGTCCTCCAATGCAAGCCACGTGTAGGATGGTGTTCCCCATGTTACAAACTACTGATGCATTAGCTCCATTTCTCACGAGTAGGTCAAATACCTCTCTGTGTCCACCAAATGCTGCCAACAATAGTGGCGTCCTCCCATCTTGATTTTGACTGTTGACGTCCCCGATGCCTTGTGACATGATGTGCTCCACCATCTCCACATGTCCTCCAATGCAAGCCACGTGTAGGATGGTGTTCCCCATGTTACAAACTACTGATGCATTAGCTCCATTTCTCACGAGTAGGTCAAATACCTCTCTGTGTCCACCAAATGCTGCCAACAATAGTGGCGTCCTCCCATCTTGATTTTGACTGTTGACGTCCCCGATGCCTTGTGACATGATGTGCTCCACCATCTCCACATGTCCTCCAATGCAAGCCACGTGTAGGATGGTGTTCCCCTTGTTACAAACAAGTGTTGCATCAGCTCCCTTCGTCACAAGTAGGTCAAATACCTCTCTGTGTCCCCCAAATGCTGCAAACATCAGTGGTGTGCCCCCATTCTGCCCTCTACAGTTGATGTAAATATCTTCCTGTGAGAGGACATGCTGCACCATCTCCACATCTCCTCCACTGCATGCCGCATGGAGTATAGTGTTACCGTGCTTATCTGTGTGTGATATGTCACTGTCTTTCCCAACAAGTAATTCAAACACATCTTTATGTCCGTACGTAGCTGCTATCATTAATGCTGTTCTTCCACGTAAGTCTCTATTGCTGATATTAAGTGTGGGCCTATCGATGACATAATTCACGATTCCAATGTGTCCTCCATGGCAGGCATAATGAAGAGTGTTGTGTCCATCATTATCCACTAATGAACATTCAGCTCCTTTATCCAGCAGATAGCGAAACACGGTTTCCTTCCCATGCCATGCTACCCACATCAAAGCTGTTCGTCCGTCGTTTCTCCTTTTGTTGATAAGGGTAGGTTCCTTTGAGACAACATACTTCACCATGTCCATATTGTTTCCCACACAGGCCATGCTCAGAATGTGGTCCCCATCACGATCCACTAGCGTCAAATCAGCTCCGTTACTGTGAAGATATTCAAAGACATCATAGTGCCCGTTCTGTGCTGCCAACATCAACGGTGTCAATCCGTACAACCCTCGGATGTTGACGTCTACTGCACCAGTACTCACGATGTGTTTTACGCGTTCCAGATCACCTTTAGCACTGGCATCATGAAGCGGGATGTTGGCAATAGGCATTTTGTGTTGCTCTGTGAAATAAGGATAATATTAACTTTTTACATGTATATATGAATTGTTTATAACCCGTTTCATTAAGGAATTCATGATTTTATAGTGACTATGTAGTTTTTGTTTAATGCTGCATCGAACAATATTTCGGTTATATATCGAAACGTGTCAACTTAATGTTGGAAGAAAGCCCATGCAGATCCTAGACGTTTACCACTTTTGTATAACCACTGGCAACACAACAATGTAATCATAATCTGTGATACCGACCGAAGATCACTGGATACCGTCACGACAAGGAATGCAACTGGATAGTGAATTGTGTCACGTTGAACGATTGAGACACTCATGCCTCAACATGATTATGTAACGGCATTAATGCTTTTAACTCTCAATATAAAAACTATTTGATTCTTTTTAGCCATTAATTTAATAGTCATCACGACTATGTGAAACTATGTTATTCATCTCACCTCTGTGATTATGGTATGTATACCATGTGTCGTCACTGCTTACTGAGGAGAAAAGTATGACATACTGCTAAATCTGACTAAAGATGTGAAATCATCACCCATGTAACAACATGCATATCCCTTCGAATTCTGTTATTAATCTTATCTGCATCATCATATGGCCATTACTATAAGAGTTTTTTTTATGATGCGGTGGCGATGCATCGAGGCATTAGCTTAAACATTACAACTTAAAACTACATCGCACATGTGTATGTAACTGCAGTAAATGATAACACCATATGATAGATCCGTGTCAACTGTGACATAAATGACAAACCGGTTAAAACCATTCCTTCGCAGCTTTTTGTACAATTTCTGAAGACAAGAAAACTAGAGCCTCATTAATAATCCGTCTTCATTTCACCTTATCAACGTTTGATTACCCATCTAAATTGTGGTCATCTGATTACAAAAAGGTGATATTTGTCATTTTCATATTTTTATGCGACATTACACATGTCTCAATGGAATCAATACCTAAGTTGAGATAGATTCTCAGCAAAACTGAGTGATCTATTTTAATTGCCTGTTCTTTTGTCAAGGTGAAAAGATTGGAGCCAACATTATCTACCCTTTCATATAACAAAACCATAAACAATCTGAGTTGAATTCTACTCTTACCTTCCAAAAGTTCTTCGCTTGCCTCATCTGAGAACAAAATAATAAATGATATGTAGTTAAGAACGAAATCTGGTAATTAATAGCTTTATAAAATGTGTAATAATATTTTGTGTGAAAGGTGCATGCCACGCGTTATCATGTCAGTTTAAATACACTGTACAGTTGGACACTCAGACCTGTCATCTAAACATTTTACATTAACTGCCACTAAATGTGCAAGAACTGCATATTTGTCAACGTTGATACTATATTATGATTCCTCATGGTCATGAACGTGTTTTTCTTTTTACATGCGTCATTTTGCATCCTATTCTGCAGATGTGTGTATTGGAAAATAGGGATAAATATATGCATCCTAGTATGGGATACTGTTTAGCCGATAAATCAATAACGTAAAATATGTGATCATAACGCTGTTCGTGCATCAATACCTGTCGTAAAGTTAGGTCACTTAAAGACAAAATACAAAAGACGGTTACTTTCATATACGATAGGTATGCTAACATTTGTTGTAGTTTAAACGAAATTGGCTGACTCCAATCAACTTTGGCTTGAACATGGATGCCCTGAAGAAGGATCAACTATAAACAAGTGGGTGAAGTATTTCAATTATGTATAAATCGATGTGTCTGCCTAATGTAGGAGCATAATGACTTCAGGACCACACGACATCACTTATATCTCTTCTACTGAAGCTGAAGCTGTGCTATTTACACTCAAAACAACGGTTATTACTGCTTACAAGCAGAAGTTTGTTTATTTGCTTGTTATTTAAAGCCACACTCAGCAATATTCCTATTATGTGACGGCGGTCTGTAAATAATCGAGTCTCGACCATACAATCTAGTGATTGACATCATGAGTATCGATCTACACAATTCAGACACGTTGACATGCATCAACGAAGTCAGCTAGCCTGACCACCCGATCCCGTTAGTCGGCTCTTACGACAAGCATGGGTTGATGAAGATCTTTTCTGACCGTAAACTTCACGGGAGAAATGGGGGCACGGGTGGTCCAATCGTCTAAGGCGCCACGATTCGCTGTGCAGAGTTGCGTCCCGTGGGTACGCTAGAAATCTTTGATTGTGGGTTCGAATCCCGGTTCGCCCCGATTATGTTTCTAGGTTTGTCAGCAGCATACCCGTGCTCGTGGGTTTCACCGAAGTGGTAAACGTCCAAGACCTGCATCACTTCGGGCTTTCCTCCTACAAAAAGCTGACTCGCCGCGATATAACTGGAATACTGTTAAAAGCGGCGTTAAACCAAAATCACTCACTCACTCACGGGTGAAAAGCAGAAAGTTGGAAGAATGAGTTTGGATGATAAATAGATTCTCCCATCTTTCGCTTTCAAGCTGAAACTTTTCTGACGGGTGGATTAGTAGCCCCCAGCAGTGACAGCCAGAACAACTGATTATACACAATGAATAGATGGGATGGTGGGTAACCACAGCTACTGGTCAGTGAGTTATACCCTTACCGTTAATTAGGATTAATTTTCCGCTCCTGAGAACAAGGAGAACATGTGTAACGTGGTGCTCATGCTACAGACTTGTAGTCAATAGTTCTTTCAACAGGATCACGTAACATTACACAAATCAGACCTGCCGAGTAATAGTCTGGACCAGGCAAACCAGTGATTAAAAGCACGAGTAAAGCTCGCCCCCCTCTCACTATAGCCCAACTACAACGAGGCACAAGGACTACAAAACTTATGTCTCGTCGAACTTGCCCGGTCACCAAACATTCCGTATGCATGCTTAGGTTAATAATTAGAGAATGGATTACATACAACATAATTACTGCTTACGTTTGTTATGACGCCAAAGGTTAAAATAGTCCATTGAATTATGTGATCGAAGACAAAAAACAGAACTGTGTACAGTACGGCGTATAATTTCCCATCATTATTCATAAGTCTAATATACATAACGAGCAGGAACTTTATATGTTAGAAGATCTATTCTTATTTATTATGTTATAAGGTTTAACTCTTTTCAAAGTGATTATGTAGTTGGTTGTAGATTTGTGAATCAAATTACATAATTTATTTTTGAGCTTATCACATTGCTGGAAAGTAACAATTGAAATTAATTAAAAGTTATATCACCCCATCATTCCAATTTGAGTAAATAATATATTTTCACTCACATTACACTTTAGAAAATGTATTCAAAGTTTGTTAAACTTACTGTTTTTGCGTCGACTGAAAATAAAAACAATTCATAAAACTTATTAAATACATGTATAAGAAATCATTACATGTCACTGCGAGTCCATCTATTGTATCCAGACTCATATGCATACGTCAACTGTAATGTCCCATGAATATTTGAGAAATCTTATCACAACGTTTTTAACTTCCGTAAATGTCATCTGACTTTCAGCTGATTGTCTAAAGTATGAGTGAATGAGTGAGTATGGTTTAACGCCGCTTTTAGCAATATTCCAGCAATATCACGGCGGGGGACACCAGAAATGGGCTTCACACATTGTACCCATGTCGGGCATCGAACCTGGGTCTTTGGCGTGACGAGCGAAAGCTTTAACCACTAGGCTACCCGACCGCCCCGTCTAAAGTATGAATTAAGATAGAGACAATTAGCTGTCCTGCTCGTTGCTGTTGTACTTCTACGTATTTCTACCACTGCATAGCTTCTTCTGCAGAATTCACTGACATTGGTTAAATGGACGTGTACTCAATTACGATGCTATGTCTTTTCTAGTGATGGTTTTGGGGCATGTATTTTATGTTTATTGGATAAGTAAGCACTGGAACAGTTTCAGGTACGATTTACATTTGCTCACTAAACACACATTGTGTGATATGTTGGTCGGTGTGTGCTTACCTTGTGTACATTACACCTATTAGAATAATGATGATAATCTCCACAATAACAGTAGTAACAACGGCGACAAATATCTGCCACAGTGTTGATATGTTGTCCTTCGCCTTTATTGCTTGTTTTTCCCCTGAAATTACATATATATAATTAGTTTGACATGCCCGCAAATGTCACCGATGGCTATTACCAGGTAGAAAGGAGTAATTGGTTTTTTTTCATTGATTAAAGCCATGGTTATTTCTCGGTGCATTAGTAATATCGAGGTATAAGGTAAACATGTGCATCTAGGTACATCTATTTAACAAAAAATCCCACATGTTGTAAGGTACAACGAAAAGAAAAAGTTGTACATCAGACATCACACAACGTTTTGTAACTACGTTTCAGAACCTACGGTGAAACCTTTTACAGTTTGCTTCTTGATAGTCGTATACGAATAGAACTGCTTCATCATAATGTCAAAAAGTCATAGTGTACCAGTAGATCATGATGCAGTCACCCCAACTGCTTTGCTCCCACTCTTTCATGACAAAGCTCACTCTGTGGCAATGAACCGCCATTCCATGAATGTTGTCTAGGAAGCAGTCATCCGCCTGAATCCACACCTGGATGTGTCTTTCGACCAGCCATTGTCATACAAATACAATGGAACTGGCCAGACACACACGGGGAAGACCACTTTGTGATAATCTAAGGTGGTCTTCCCATTGAAATGGCGGCCATGAAGACTGCAGGAGACTGGCTGCAGGGCAGTGGGTGGACACAGGCCCTTGTGCAGGCTTAGATAGCAACCTCTGGTACGGCTGACTCCTTTCTGCGAGCAGCACATGTTTCGCGCATCAGGTGACAGCTGCCACTATGCATAACCTGCAACATGACGCGCATGACACGTACACTGAACGAGCCACTGCCGAGGAACAAGACGCACTGGCGTTTGATGCCTGGTGTGATGAGAGAGCGGGGAACTGTCCACAGTTTCAGTACTGGTCAAACAAAAGACAATACATCAGGATTGCAACTCGGTTG